CCGGAGCCCTGGGAGGAGGGCGGAGAGCCCCGGCGGGGGCTCGGCTCTCCCCCCGGCAGCCAGAGCGCCGGGGGCAGGGCGGCGAGAGGGCGGCGAGCCCCGGCGGGGGCTCGGCTCTCCCCCCGGCAGCCAGAGCGCCGGGGGCAGGGCGGCGAGAGGGCGGCAAGCCCCGGCTGGGGCTCGGCTCTCCCCCCGGCGGCCAGAGCGCAGGGGGCAGGGCGGCGAGAGGGCGGCGAGCCCCGGCTGGGGCTCGGCTCTCCCCCCGGCGGCCAGAGCGCAGGGGGCAGGGGGGAGGGCGCGGGGGGGGAGGGCGGCCAGAGCGCCGGGGGGAGGGCGGCGAGCCCGGCTTTGGCCCCGCTCTCCCCGGCGGCCGGAGTGCCGCGCCGCCTCCCTCCAGGTGCCGCCCCAAGCACCAGCTTGGTTGCCTGGTGCCTGGAGCCGGCCCTGGGGAGGGGCCTCTCTTTTCTCCTTATATAATCTATTTGAATGGTAGAGACCAGAATAGAATTGCCATTTTGTTGAGAATATTAACTTGGGAAATGTAATACATGGTCAGGAACAACGCAACCATGTTGAAGCTTTCTATGTGACAGGACCAGTAAATAGTGAAGAAAGTAATATCATTGTACAATGCAAATTTTGGCAACCTGTTTTGAAGTTAAGTCTAAGATAGCACCAAACAAGAGTGTCAATATTGTAAATTATAGCTTTAATAAATTTGTAGAAAAAACTAATAGGAATACAACTACTTTATGTGGGTAAGTACAAAACAACACTTTCAGGCAGCAAGCCAGCAAATAAGCATAGTAAATCATATGTATTTTATGACTAGATCTAAGGGCCTGATTTTGAACAGGATCTTCACTACCCTCCCTTTTTGCACCCAAGTACAAATACCTGTGCACAGTTATTTGCAAGTGTATTTGGATGTCTGAGTGGCATGACTGTGCCCATATATAAAATACTTAGATGTTTAAACTGATAGCAGTTGTTCCTACTGGATAAGGACAAATAAAGCAAGGCTTGTGCCATAATTTTCAAAGATGAGATCCTGCAGTTAGGCTCAGAAATCCATATTTATGGAAGTTGCTAGGTGCTCAGTAGAGATGAAAATCAAGTGACTTATTTAGATGGCTGTAGATGGTTTTAGGAGCCTAACTGTTGGCACCCATTTTTTAAATCAGTGTTCAGGTTTTAAAATCCTGCCCCTTAATGTGCATCTAAAGCTACATCCCACTTTTCTCCTGATATGAAGAGTAAATTTCCTCTAGTTCTGTAGACAGTATCTGTATAATAGCTGTAAAGGCAAATTTATATTCAGGTGGATTATATATACAATTCTCAAAACCAAACGTTTATGGTTTAAAAAGTCTCTCTACTAAATTACAATGCCCTTGTGTGTCACACAGAGATTTAAAAAACTGAAACAATAAAGCTGTTAGGTGTCTCTTTATCTTCAGCTTAGTGTTGAGTGGTACTCCCCACCCACCCAATCCAGTGTAATCCTAAAAGCATCTCTGAGCTTTTCTTGTAACATAGTTAGCATTGCTATGATTTCCAGCATCCTCTCTACCTAAATCCTTTTAGATGGTTCATTTAATCCCTTTACAATTTAAGAATGTATTTCAATGTTATCTATAATTGAATAAAAATGGAATCATACTTGATAAGATGGTGGTCGAGGCTCAGTTCTAACAAAAACCCTCTCCACGTTAGCAGACATAACCATAGTTGATGGGAAATCCTGGAGGAGCCATGTTAGATACTGAAGTCCGAATGAGATTCTCTGAGGTGGAAGTATAGAGTTTGGCCCCAAGTTTCAAACATGGCTCAATTTCTAACATAGACATTGCATGTTCGGTGGTCCCATTGTGTAGGCAGAAGAGCAGGTTTGAAATCAACATGTACCTGCTTAGAAATCACAGCTAGAAACTCTTTGCCACAATGATCTATAGTGCAAATTTATAATTGTTTAAGCATTTCCTTTGCTGCTTCCCCAAACATTCTTTTACCTGAAAGTTCCATCTGAAGTGAGAGCATGCAGTCATTGTAGATAAACCCACTCCTCATATTATTCAGTGCTCAACTTTCTGGGTCCTATTCAACATTACCCTGCAGTCCCTTTGTGCCAGCTAAGCTGGTATAGAAGGGGGACAGGATAGGCATGAAAGCCACCCAATGAAGGGAGTTTCTGTACACCCTCCAGAGGCTCCCCAGGCACAGAGGGAGGGGACTGGGATGTGGCTGGGGGAGACCGGTGCTTTGGCAATTCTGTGCTCCTAAGGAAATCCAGAGTTTGTTACAGCAGGAGAGCAACTTGAGGCAGCCCTCAGGGCTAGAATTGAATTGAAATAAGTAGAGCCAGAGCCCTGAAGTTTGTGGGATAAGCAGCTGTTGGGCAGGGGATTACACACTCTAGGTAAATTAAAATTTAAAAATGAGGGTAAACAATGCATATCGATGTGGCGAATGTTGTAGGTCTCCAGATGGCATTATTGCAGGCACTCTTCTATTTCTCTGAAAGCATGATCTTGGAGCAATGCTCATCACCAACTGTGAAACAGTTCTTTTTAGATGCTGAACAATTGCCAGTAAAGCTTGAGATCTCAGAATAATTTTCCCTCATATGGTTGTGCTTACAAGCTATAACTACACAAGAGGACAAAATATTATAAGGCTTGCAAACATTTTTAATAAAACCTCAACTGGACATTCACATTATTTTATTTACACTCATCTTTGAAGATATAATAGCATTTTTATTATAGCACATTCTGCTCACTTTAGGATTAGAAGAAAAATTGTTTGTGAGGCTAAATATACTAACTAAATAGCTCCATTTTCACAAAATATGAATAAAAAAAAGTTTGAGTTTCATTTTCAATCCTAACATCAGAGTTAGGGTTGAAAATGGATCTCAGTCTGAATACAGATTGCACTTCAGTATCAAAGTTAAGAATTCAACATAACAAATTTGTGTATTAATCCTGGTCATTTGTGGTTTATTTACAAAGCCAGGATTTTGCACTGTGTTTTACAGAGATAATTAAACAGAAATATATGAGAGAGACCTTGTGTTACTGGGGCTGGCCCTTTCAGGAAAGTCAGAGACCAGCCTACCCATGACAAGCTCCTGAAAGGGAGAACAAACCAACTCAAATCCACCTGGAGGTAAAGAAATCCCTATGCGCCTAGTTGACAACTGATTAGCTAATGAGCCTGACCAAGGGTTACCAGTCCTCAGCTGAGGTGGTTTCTAGAGACAGGAAGTTCACCAGAGCAACAAGTCCAGGAGGGAATTCCTGGAGACAGGAAGCCCCCCTGAGGAGAGCTTACCAGAGCCAGGAGCCTAGAAGGTGCACTCTTAGACACAGGGAATGGCCAGGCTGTCAGAAACTACATGCTGCTACAGAGAAGAGCTACAGCTGATAGATCTGATTCTGGGGAAAGAATTCTTCCCAGATAGTGGCAAGAAGCCTGAAGCGAGAGCGCTGCTGGAGTGGACTGGTGGACTCACGTGGGATGGATAAATTAAGATTGATTGTCTCCCAGCTGAGACACTGGAGTGAAGGTTTGGATGCATTTTCATTGAGGCTCTGCTTAATAAACTAGACCCCTCAGAGGGATGCTATTCCCTAAATAAAGCCTCATTTAACTTACGGATAGCCCACTTGGGGAAAGTGAGGCAGGGAGCATCTACAGGACACCTGGCCACATAGCAGCACTATAGGGCAGGTCCACCCTGTCTGAAAAAGCTTATGCTCTATGGCCCCAATCCTACAGTTGGATCTGCTACCATGAGCCTTTAGGCCCAGGCAAAGATCCACTAACTCTAATTGGGGTTTACCCCAGACAAACATAGAAGGTGATAAGACAGTGGAGGGGAGGAGACAGGATGGACATTAAATAAAGATGATGCAGGTCTAATGACATTTGTAAACGAGTACGTTCTGATATGTTTAAACAGTGTGCAAGAGAGGAAGAATACATACCACAACAGTGGCAACTACGGAAAGCAAAACAAATGCAGTGCACTGAGGAGATCAGATTTGGTCCTCTGACGTCATACTGAATTAGGTATTGGACACTGTTGAAAGCAACCTTCTCCCTTCTATCACAAATCATTTTCATCCATCTCTATTGGTCTTACTCCTTGGGAATAGACCAAAGAAGGAGAAATGCCACACTCGGGTATGGGCTGCAGTAAAGGCAGGTGTCTCTCTTGCAAAAGTGAAGCTTGGGCCAACTCAAAGCAAGTCTCAAAATAATCCACTGATTCCCCATCTTGTCTTTGCATTAAGAGTTGGTAGTCTCCAAAGCGAATGATGCATTTCCATGGCAGGTCAATTTTGTTTAGGTAGTCCAGTTCCACATTGTCCACAATTAGCTTGGTCTTTTTGCTCATGTTCTTTATCTCAAAACCAAGTTCTGAGCTGTTGAGTTGCCTGAAAAACTGCAGGGTAAACTGAACCCGGGAAACACGGGTATCCATTAAATTATAATGGCAGATGTTAGAATCTCGGCCAAACTTTGCCACTTCATCTACCCTGCGCCGCTCTCGCTTGTGGAATTTTAAGCTGCGAAACACCTGCTTTTCTTCTTGGCAAGGATGGTACAAAGTTATATGGAGACAAGTTACTGTCTCTTCAGTTTCCACTTCTTCCATGGAGCTCATGATGATGATCCTTCTCAGAACTACAAGAAAGAATGAAACATGAAATTATTGCAATGCCAAAAAAATCCACTTGGAACTGGCATCATTTAAAGAACTTTACATACTATTGATTAATTAATGTGTACTTGTTTTATAGAGATCCATGGGTAGTAAACAGTCTAGCAGCTTGGGCACAGGATTGGGAGTGAAGAACTCCAGCTCGATCACAATAGTTCTATTCCCAGTTTTGCCATTGACTTATGTGGCTCTGGACAGGTCAAAAGCCTCTCTGTGCTTTGGTTTCCCATCTGTAAAATGAGGATAAGTACAGAGACAAGGTGAGTGAGGTAATATCTTTTATTGGACCAAGTTCTGTGTAAGAGCAAAAGTTTCTCTCTCTCACGAACAGAAGTTGGTCCGATAAAAGATTACCTCACCCACCTTGTCTCTCTAACATCCTGTGACTGATATGACTACAACAACACAGCATACAACCACAAGTACAGGCTGTTATTAAACTGCCTTAATATTTTTTAAATGTTTTGAGATCTTTGCATGAAACTATGCAAATATATTAACTAGTTCTGCCCCTATTATAAGTGTCTTACTAAATGAGTTCATCTTTGAAGAAACATTTTGGTGATACATCATTGGAAGCCTAAACACTTGTTTTGTAGACCTCAAAGACCCACATTGGAACTATTATAGTATTTGTTAATGACTCTGAATATTATATATCACTATTTATTATATTCCTTTGACAATATGAAATGTGACAAGTACCCTTTACAAGTACAGTTTGCCTGGGATGTGGGGAACTCAGGATCAATTCCCCTTTTCCTGCCAGAAGGTGGGGAAAGGATTTGAACAGAGGTCTCAGAGCTCTCTAATCACTATGCTGCGGGACATTCTGCTGTAGGGTTTCCTCGGTCTCATGTTTTGAAGCAGTGGCACTCCAGCTAAATAATGAAAGTGTAAGTGGACAGGCCCCTTGGTCTTGCACTTCCCAGATGGGTTCCCTAACCTCTGGACTATAGAGTCATTCTCCCTCTCTCTGGCCTAATGACTACTTCAGTATTTATCCATGGTAGAACAGTCAAGTAGGAGCTCAGAAGAACATTAGCTTTTTCAGAACTACCCACTGACACAAACTTTACCTTTTGAAATCTCATTAAGGAGGAGCTGCTATATGTAATACATTACAAATATCGAAAATGAATTTAAAGTGGGCGTGAAAATTCCCCTGCTTTCTCCAACAAAAATGGGGTACAGGATTTGCCATACTGCATCAGACCTGTGGTTCATCTAGCCCAGTATCTCTAACAGTGGCCAACACTAGTTGCATTAGAGGAAGATGCAAGAAAAACTGCAGTTATGGAAGTCTGTCCAGAGGGAAAGTTTCTTCCTAAACCCCATTAATTAGCAGTTGGCTCATCTCTGGAAATATGGGGTGGGGTATATCCCTTTCAAAACTCCTTGTTCTTGTTTTTAATATGTGCTACTGTAATTCTGGATGGTTTTGTCCACATAAATATCATATTTAACTCTTGGCCACATATTTTGTGGCAAAAAGTACCACAAGCTAATGGTACACTGTGTGAAATGGTATTTCCTTCTACATCCAAATAAGTTCCTCACTTAACTGATACGTACATTTCACTATGAGGTGCATAATCAATGTTATTCATTGTATGGGAGTCATTACTAAAAGCAGTTTACAGTTCAGTCTATTGTATTTTATTGCTACATGAAGCATCATTGTGATATGGACTCTGACATACAATTGCCTTTCCAAGCATAAGATTGCACAACTTTAATCTATGAACACACAAAGAATGGATTACTGGTACTAGGACACCTTTCTGTGATGCCAATATCTAGAGATACCATATAAATATCTCAAGACCTCTGGAATTATTTTCCTTATTTTCCTTCCTTAATTGATATTCAAAACAAGGCACAATGCTTTTTCTTACAAAGCAACAGCTCAGGCACAGAACATCTCCCATTTCAGTGCTGGATAAATCTGGCCAGGGAAATCACATTAGTGAACTCTACTTAAGCATTACTTGCTAGAGTGGTGCTGGTATGGCTTTCCTGGCCATTGTAAGCAAAACCTAAATGTTAAGAAACAAATTAATTTCAAGTAGATTCTGATTTCTAGGCTGTTTAAAACTCCTGTAAATAATTCTGCTTTTCCCCAGCCCATCTTGAAAACAATACCGTTGATTTTGGGTAAAATTATAAAACTGATGGAAGCAAAAAGCCCCCAGCCTTTAGCAAGAGTTTTACGTACATAGGACTACAGTGTTAAACCCTTGGTGTCATTATCACATTTGGAATGTGCATACTTGTCTCACTTCCCCTTACATTCCGCACAAATCCATCAGCAAAAAATCCACACAACTTCCTTGGGGCACTGACTGTTAACATCACCAGGCATGGGAATTTGTGGATCTTTTGCTGAAGGGTTAGGCTGCCCATACACCCACCCCACAAAAGAAAATTTCTAAGACCAAATTTCTTTCTGATATTCAAACTTTTTCTATTGACAAATAAAACAAGCATCAAGAGGTGAAAATACTAATGATACAACTGTTTTGAAAGCAATTCTGACTCCATTAAATCTCACAAAACTTAGAAAGGGAACAAACTGATTACACCATCAGGTCTATTCCCCCCACCCCCACTTACGAGATGTAAATTCCTAATAGAGGCCATAATAAATGTTTGTCCAGGCTGGCCTGGATCTTTTCTCCCACCCGCCCCCTTTTGCCTCCATTTGCCACTGAGGGGCATAGCCACTGTATGGACTGAAGTTTGCTACTGAGAGGAGCAGGTAAAACCGGGAGTGCAGTTTGCCAGTGAGGCAAGCGGTTGGACTGAGGACTGTTGGCCCCCTGGAAGGGGGGAAAGAACCGAGTGGGGCACAGCTGGAGGGGTGTGTCCAGAAGAGGACGACAGGGCTGAGGGAGCGACACAGTTCCTGGATGCAGAGACAGGAGTGAGGATGGGTGGGACACCACCTGAGGAGAGTGCATGGGCAACCGGAGCTAATTCCCAGGATGGCCATCAGGGGGTGCCGCAGTGGTGAGTCGAACACCTGTCACCAGGTCCAAGAGCAGAATTTCCCATAATGCCTGGGAATTGACTAGAGTAAAGAAAACATTTTCCCCAACATCTCTTGCTATGTTTATTCCTTTGTAGGTTTTTTTATAGGAGTAAATTTACTGAGAGTTGACAGTGCAGCAAGATCTAGTACAGACATCCAAGGTCCTGACAATTGAGGGCTTGATCCTGCTCCTATTGAAGACAACAGCAAAACTTCCACTGCCGACAACAGCAGCAGAGGTGCCCCTCCAAGCTCCATCCCACCGCAGATCTGTTGATGACACGGATCTTTGGCGGGAGGAGGCATCCCTTCGACCAAGCAAAAAGGAAGCTATACTAACTGGATGAGGGCAGCAGGCGAATGCCCAGTCCCACGCCAATATCTGTCTGTGAACAAGAAAGTGCCCCTCAGCGGCAATGGCAGTGAAAAGGTGCTCTCGGCCCGGCCCCTTGGCTGACACCTGCCAGTGGGAAACGTTTCTCCTTGCAGCTGGGAAACTCCCAAGACGCCGATTTCGTCCGCCCACGAGCTGCCGCTCACAGCGCATCCAAATGTAAACACGCCACCGCCTGGCTTTGCCGCTTGCGCGTCTGGCTTGCGCAGACCAGCGGGGTCTGGAAGGCGCACAGCTGCGCTACGCCATGCCATGTGCGGGCCAGTGGGCAGTCCCCTGCCATGCCGTGTTACCAGCTGCCCCCCGCGCAAGCCCGCTCCAAGGAGCGAAACTCCCGCTGCCTTCCACGGGCGCAGGTCATTGCGCGCCGCCCTTTGCATCCCCAAATCAGCCCATCCCCACTGATCCCCCCGCCCCGAGACACACACACACACACACACATTCCGCTTGTGGCACAGCCCCTGCCGCTGTCTGTCCCCCTATCCCCACCGCTCCCATCCATCCTCGTTAAACTGCCCCCGGGAAAGAGCCAGCGGCAATGGACACCCGTCAGCTCCGTGCGCTCACCTCTGCCGGGGGACCCAGAGCGCAGCGAGGGAGATCCCAGCGGGGTGTCGGGGGAGCTAAATGAGCCTCTCCCGCGCCCGGAGCCTGCTCCTCTCCAGGCTCGGCGAGTCGGCGTAAGCGCTCGAGTCTGTTTGTGCGGAGCTGCCACGGGACAGGATTTTCCCCGCACTCCCCGCCCATTGCCTCTCGGGGGTGGAGGAGGTGGAGCAGCTGCACCATGGGACTTGTAGTTCGCAGCACTTGGGCTTCCTGCTTCACCTAGGGCGGCCACCAAAACAAACTCCCTGGACCGGCGGCTTCTCTTCGGCGAGCATAATGTAAGTGCCCAGCACAGCGATCAGCAATTCGGGTAATTAAAGGGACGCCAGCAACTTTAAAAACAGGCTACGGGCTGAACCTCTGATCCTTGTGAATAACGCCTGCTGATGACCAGATCAGAAAGGGATTACACAAATGTATTTCCCTATTATTGTATCACTGTGTTTTCTTTGCGCATTTAGCTTTTGTGTGTGACTCTACCGTTTGCTTTGTCCGCTCTTACAGTCGGTCAGTTTCCTTTGCTGGTGTTGCGGCCTTTCACACAGCAACGGAGCTGAGAAACATTTTAATAAAAACGAAAATGAGTGAAAAGCTCCCAGAAACTGTCAGGGAGGAGTCAGGGCAGGTATAGTGCCTGAGACTACATTCCCACATTGGCAATGCTATATAATCATATTAATTAAAATTGATCCATCTTGTAGGAGGTGTCAACATACCTGACATTTATTAATGAAAGTCAAAGAAGGAAGTGTTGAGGATCAATTGGAGGGAACTAGAACAATAATCTGCAAGAAATTCTGAGCTCTATTCAGCAGTTTGTTTCTATCTGGGTTCTTGTACGGGATCTATGAGGGACAGAGTTTATTTATGTGTATCATACAAGTTGTTTGCATTCTATTGGTGTAAAAAAAAAAGTTCTCTTAACACTATCATGATCAGATTTCTCTGCCACTGATGATTTATTTTGAGCAAAATCTTGCTCACTTTACTGTCACACAGCCCTCACGGAAGTTAGTTGTGATCAATGGGAGTTTTGTGTAAACAACTCTCAGTAGTCCATTCTAAAGAAACATGTTTAGATACAAAAAGTTTTAAAGTTATATTTCTAGGCAGCAAAACAGGCTGAGTCAAATGGTCAGTTAATTGCTTTTGAACACCATTCTGCATGTAAGCCGCTGAAAGACACTTCACTAGTTCTCAAGTGTATTTTCCCCCGGTTATTAACCACCCTTCCCCACCAGGCTTTATTTAGAAACAAACAAAATATCTGCTTATAATGTGGTAGGCAGAATAAATGCCAGTGTTAATAAGCTATCCATTTACGTTTTAAAATAGGAAGTAAATTGAAAACTGGGCAGATGACATCAAATGAACTACCCAACTAAATTAACCAAAGACCTGTACATTTAGCAATGCAATGTGAGACAGGACACTGCTTCATAGGACTGTTCACGGAGGAGGAGGAGGAATCTTTGTTAATGAAACTTTATGGTTAAGATCATAAACCCATTGTGACACTGCACCCCATATTCTTCATAGTGATATTACTATGATATGATTATAGTATAATGATGCATTTTAGGCAAGATGGGTAATGTAAGATGTCATTGGAAAAGTTATGGTCTGCTGAATATGATTATCCTATTTGTATGCTTGTATCATTTTTGCATCTGAAGTCATGAATATTGGCTAAGTATCTGTATTTCAGATGTAGTTATACCTAGGTGATGCCCATTAGGCAAGATGCTTTCAGTCTAGATAGTGGGTGGGGAAGGGCCTGTTCAGGGTAATAAGCCATTAGGGAAAACAGTAGGCCTCAGGAGAAGCTTATCCATCAGCTGGTGAGCCTTCCTGTGAACACTCCAGACAGCCTGTAAGTAATGGCTGCTATGACTCAGCAAGGTATGCAAAGGCATGTAACCAGGCCACATGATCCATCTTGGGATGTCGGTGTTTTTCCATAAGCTGAGTTTAGCATACGGAGGGAATCCTTTTCCCTCCGTATGCTAAAGCTATCTAAGGCAGAGAATGACATCATCTGTTGTTCTTCACTCCCCATACAAGAAGATTTCTGGAAACACCTAAGGAACAAAGACTGAACTGGGGGATTTCTAGCCTGTGTATGAAAGACCTGGGGATTCCAAGCTGTAAAGCAAGTGTAGCTTGTCCCTCAAGAATCTGCAGTCTGCTTGTACCGTCTCTCAGGGTGAGAGATTGGATATGAATTAGCAGTTTATCTAGTATGATCAGCTTAGTTTGCGTTTTTGTTTACTTACTAAGTAATCTGCTTTGATTTGTTTGCTACCATTTATAATCACTGAACATATATTTTGTAGTTAATAAATTTATTTTCTGTTTTAATCTAAACCAGTAAGTTTGCAGTGAAGTGCTCGGGAATCCTAGCTCAGAGGGGCTGTTGCATTTCCTCCGCACATTGAGGGGGAGGCAAACTGGATAATAAATTCATACTGGTTGGGGTTTAGACCAGGGCAGGATGGTACAGCTCTGGGGACTTAGGCTGGGAAACTGGTTATTTTGGCTGTAGCCTCTCTACTGTTGGTTCGTGCAGTAGCTGGTCAGAGCCTGCAGGTAACTGCAGCTGGGTGTGTCCCTGCCTGCGTGAGTGCTGGTGGGAAGTATAAGACCGGGAGCGGGTCTGCAGCTTGTCACAGCAGCACTGTATGGGAGGGAGCCCAAGCTGGTGGGTCAGAGGGCTCAGTGGCACCCCAGTTCCAGGTGGCACGCTAGGGGGAACCCATCACACTCATAAAAGTCAGTAAAAACCAAAATTATATTTCCACAACCATCATTGCATGCCCTCTTTCATAGTGAAGTCTTTCATATTACTCATTGTGGTGATAGCTTTGATTTTATAGCAAATATCATATATTCAGCATGACTGAATAACAGTTATTGTAACAAATATCTGAATTCCTTGACATCTGTAGGTTCAGAATCTCAGTCTACTGTTGCATTAAACAGTGTTCTGACTTTAAGATCCTGTGGGGGTGGGAGTTAAAAGAAAGAGAGCATCTGTAAATACACATGTGCATATGTCTTAGTGTACGGCGCATGAATGCAGAATTAGGCCCTCTGTACAGTTTTCAATCTTCCCACATTCATTTTGTAGTACCTAGTCTTCAATCAGTATCACACTTAGTAAAGCACACAAGCTACTTTGGACTACATCCATTTCAAGTTTAAAACAAAACTAATGTTGAGCTCTCCAATCACAAAGGAATTACTGAACAAGTCTTTAAAAATGGAGAAATCACATCTTAAAATCCTGGGATAATTCAAAAACAGACAAACAAAATTGTACTAAACTTTACAGTAGGTGAGGGAAACAACCACTTTGGGACTGGAAGTGAGTGTGCAGAAATTAATTTCAAATGGCAATTTTTCTAAAGCATTTTCATTTACAGGTGCTTAGTGTCTCTTCATTCATAATACTAGCAAGCAGTTCTGCTGGAACCCTGGTAACCGCCAGAGTTGGGCTTGGAACCTGAGATATGTATAGAGTCTTATCCAGTTTTCTTTATATGTATTTGTAGGATTGTCCTTCTCCCTCAAGGACTGGATTTGTCCATAATTCATGAGGTTGGGAGGATTTCTACATTCAATTTGTTGTTTTACCGTAACTGACAACCACTTTGGTTGTCTGCTTAGGGCACTGAATTTTTTAGTTGTGCCTCTTTCTTTAATAGCTTGTCTCAAAGACAGACAAAATTAGACTATGCAAGCAATGCTCCCAGCTGATAGTGTAAAACATAAAGTAGATGTATTTATACCAGTACATATTAGAATCATAGGAATTAATGTGATAAATAAAATTTGTAAATGTTATCCTAATATGATCTAACACAGAAAAGAGAAACTCTCTTCAGTTCTTAGCTTACAAATAGATATTTGTGTCCTTAATTATGTGTAACTTTCAGCAATCACACCATGTTCAGACCTTCACATGAGGTTTCCTCCAATGTGCTTTCACTTCATTGAGGCTCCAGACAAGATCCAGAATGTATTGCTGTCCTTTAGAATTCAATCTATGAGCCAAAGACTAAGCCCAGTCTTCTTGTGCTCAGGTCACCTTCAACTGAGCTCCTAACAGTGTATCCTAGTCACTGGCCCACATGCCCAGTATTGAATCCCTACAGTCAAAAGTATTCAGAACTGGACTGTTCTTTGGTGACACTCCAGTGTCACCTCTGCAATGTCTTGGCCACAGAGAAATGCTCCATCATAAAGTGATTACATCAAGGAAAACATATTTGTATTGTAATTCTTCTATACAGAAAGATCCCCCACCCTTCAGGGTGTTTATATTGTAACAATTCTGCTTGTTAGGGAAACATTTAGGTTTGTTTGTTTGTTTGGGGTTTTTTTTGGTTTTACATTTACAGCTTAATTAAGTTATTTGCCAACAGAGAATAAAATAATTTTTCTTATGTTTTAAGAAACAAATGCTGAGTCTGATCAAATTTCACTGACTGTTAGAGAAGAAAAAATCCTTTCTTGGCTGGCAATCCAAGTTCAGTCGAAAAGAATATTTTATTTTGAGTCCTGATGCAAATTTACTGCATAATAAAAGTTCAGTTATAGCATCTTTCATCCAATGGTTTCCCAGCTCATTACAAAAATGAGTAGGTATTAATTACAGATACTTCTCTGTACCTCGGTTACTGTAAGTTACTTTCACAAGATCACACAGTGAGTGAGTGGCAGAGTAGGGCATAAATTCCAGGTCTTTTAAATCCCAGCCTTAACTACTTGACAGCCCTGCATCTCCCATACTATGTATGTGACAGTATGATATCTGTGTGCCAAATCTTGTAATCTATACTTTTGCAATATTCCCGTTGAAATCAATGGGTGTTATGCCTGAGTAAACTTTGCAGGATTTGTCTCCATGTGAATAAATACACCTCTACCCCGATATAATGCGGCCTGATATAACATGAATTCGGATATAACGCGATAAAGCAGCGCTCCGGGGGGGCGGGGCTGCGCACTCCGGTGGATCAAAGCAAGTTCGATATAACGCGGTTTCACCTATAATGC